AGGTTTCACCTAGGCGGATCGTCAGGGAATACTGGTTCCAGTATTCCTGACGATCAACGTAGGTGAAAACTTGATAGGTTTATCTGGCTCATTAGGTTTAATTAGGTTTGCTCTACTTAGCGTATTGAGCACTTTACTAAGTCATTTTACTTACTCGTATCGGGGTTTTTTTTTTCTTTGAACTCTGAACTTGGATGCTAGACGATTGTCTTCGGCTGACGTAGATGTTCTCTGTTCTTTCTTTTTGTACCTTTTTTTCCCTTGGGTATTGGTCTGTTTATTTACATATCAAAGTACCCAAGGTTTTCCGGACGAATAATTTCTTATATTTATAAGATTAGTACTATTATATATATGTGTGTGTGTGTGTGTGTGCGTAGGTGTGCGTGTGTAGATATATATATATATATTAAAATAATAGGAATGAACAATGAGATTTATAATTCAGAGTTCTTAGCATTTATTTTTATTTTTAAAAAACAGTGCTCGATACAACAGCAGAGCATAATTTTATAATTGCATTTTTTTAATATACAACCATCGCGACACAGAAATTCCCATGTTTCAAAACTTCAATTCAAATTTAATCATTAAAATTAAAATACAAAATTCCGCTCCATTATCAGGCGATGCTAAGAAACTTAGGGAATAGATCTGGGATTACGTGTTGTTGTTTTTGCATTACACACACACACACACACATATATATATATATATATATATATATATATATATATATATGAATAGAATAAAATAAGCAGCGTCTAAGAGAGTCTGCTACAGAGACACACAGTAAAGAAAATAGCCCAATGCCATATTAAATGGCAGGGACAAAACTAACAGCATCATAAGTTTTCACGCAATCTCATCAGGCGGTCGGTATATATATATATATATATATATATATATATATATATATATATATATATATATATATATATATAATAATGAGCAGGAAGAGATGACACCAGAGATGGAACCAAAAGGTGACCATGAAAACCATTTTTTTTTTTAAATTTTTGTTTGTTTTTCGGCCTTGGTCACTGAACTAGGGGAAGAAAGGATTTCGGTTTTTTTTTTCTTAAAATCAAATTTTTAATGGAAATATTTCATAAAATAGATTTTTTCTTTCTAATAGAATACGACAGAAACTGACGCACAAAAGAACAAAAAACAAATCAGTGGAAAAATCAACTCCTACAGAAAGAATTATCTGTTAAGGAAGACAGACATTGCATTTAATACAAGTAGAAATGTTCATATGGGAGACCCAGTATAATTTCTAGATAGTATATTTATTTAGTCTTTTCAATTTGAATTTATTAATTTTACAAAGACTCTGTTTTATGATCATCTTTTAGTTGGTTGGTCCTTATAGCGTTATCGGAATATTATTTGAAAATAATATGGGCGTGTTTTGTGATTTGTTTGTTAGAAACGTTGGCCTCACTGTAAATGTCTTTTTCCCAAAAATTATTATTATTATAATAATAAAAAGAATTCACCAGAAAATTCAACTGAAACCAAAAGAAAAAAAAATCCGTTACTATTATCATAGTGATGCAATTGTAATTTAACAGAACTGGAAAGAAAAAAAAGCAACTTTTTTTTTCTTTAAGAACAAAAAAAAACATTATAGACGCAAAGGTTGTGTAGACGAAATAAAACATTATCAGTTTTTTTTTAATTCCTCCCCACCCAAAAAAACAAAACAAAAAAAAAACGGATACCAGTTGAAAGATTATTTTTTTTTATTGCATCTCTTGTAACAATGGACGATTACTGTATCGCCCAAGGGAGATAACACTGTTTTATATCCGGTTTTTATTCGGATGTTGATGTTCGGATTCGTTTGTAAGATCAAATATATTTGAGTCAAAAGTCAACATTGCTGTCATCAAAGATTTTTTTTTGTCACATTACTTACCTAAAATGCGTCTGTGTCTGCCTTACTGAATTTAGTGAACCAAATTTAAAGTAAAAAAAAAATACATTTGAAAGATCAGCGTACAAACATATTTTGAAAGATTTTTTTTTTAAATCAAAAGCCCAAATATCAAAAGAAAAACCTTGAGATGAAAAAAGAAATTGTTAGTTTCTGTCTATATTCTTTACTTCAACACTAAATAAAGAAGTTTAATTTATTCACTTTGACCATATGGACTTGTTATTATTTATTTTCTCCTCCTCTTCTTCTTCTTCATCCTCATCTTCTCCATCCACTTCTTCTTCTTCTTCTTCTTCTTCTTCTTCTTCTTCTTCTTCTGCTGCTGCTGCTGCTGCTGCTGCTGCTACTGCTGCTTATTCGTCTTTCCTCCTCTTCTTGATACCTAACTTATTGATTCTCTATTCCCCCTTCTTCGACCTCATTTTCTTCCCTACTCTTTTTTCTTCTTCATCATCCTCATCTTCTTCTTTATCCTCTTTGTCTTCTTTTCCTTTGTCCTTTTTTCTTCTTTCCTCCTCTTCTTGATATTCATCTTTTATTTCTTCTCTTTCTTTTCTCCTTTTTCCTTGGTCCTCATTTTTCTCATCTTTTTCTTTCCCCGTCTTTTTTCTTCTTCTTGATCACCTTCTTCTTCTTTTTCTTCCCTCCTCTTTTTACTTCTTGATTCTCATTTTTCTCTTTTCTTCTTCTTTTTTCTTTCCGCCATTTTTCTTCTTGATCCTCATTTTTCTCATCTTCTTCTTTCTTGACCCCCTTCTTCTTCTTCTTCTTCTTCTTCTTCTTTCCTCCTCTTTTTTTACTTCTTGATCCTCATTTTTCCCTCGTCTTCTTTGTCCTCCGCTTTTTCTTTTTCTTTCCTCGTTTTTTTCTTTTTCATCCTCATCTTCTTCGTCCTCTTCCTCTACATTTTCTTTGACCTCTTCTTTTTCTTTTCTCTTCTTCTTAAACCTATTCTTCTATTTCTTCTCCTTTGTCCTCATCTTCTTCTTCTTCTTCTTCTTCTTCTTCTTCTTCTTCTTCTTCTTCTTCCTTCCTTCCTTCCTTCCTACTCTTTTTGATTCTCATCTTCCCGATTCTCTTCTTCTATTTCTTTTTCTTTGTCCTCATCTTCTTCTTTCCTCTTCATTATCTTCATTCTTTTTCTTTCCCATTTACTTCTTCTTGATCCTATTTTTCTATTTCTTCCTTTTCTTTCTTCCTCTTTTTTCCTCTTGATCCTCAATTTTTTCGTCTTCTTCCACGTAATCTTCTTCTTTGTTCTTTTCTTCTTCTTCTTCTTCTTCTTCTTCTTCTTCTTCTTCTTCTTCTTCTTTCCTCCTCTTTTTTCTTCTTCATCCTCATTTTTTTCATCTTCTTTTTCGTCTTCTTCTTCCTCTTTGTCCTCTTTATTATTTTTCTTCTCTTTTCCTCATCTTTTTTTCTTTTCTTTTTCTCATCTTCTCCATTTCCTCTTCTTTTTATCCCTTTCTTCATCATCAACCTCTACGTTGTCTCTCTTCTTTCCATCCTTCTTTTTCTTCTTCTTCTTAAAATTCTACTTTTTTTTATTTCTTCTTCGTCCTGTAGTCCACTTCCTCTTCTTTTTCTTCTTCATCTTTCTTTTCATTTTTCATAAACTACTTCTTCTTGATCCTCTTCTTTTCTTCTTCATCCACATTTTCATCTTCTTCGTTCTCCTCTTCTTTTTCTATTTATTCTCATTTGTCCCCATCTTCTTCTTTCTTCCTCTTTTTTCTACATCTTGAACCGCATCTACATATCCTTCGTCTTCTTTTTCATCCACTTTTTCTTCGTCTTCTTCTTTCTTTCTTTCTTTCTTCTTCTTCTTCTTCTTTGTCCTCCTCTTCTTTTTTCTCCTCTTTTTTATTTTTCTTCTCATCTTCTTCCTCCTTTTCTTCTACTTATTTTTATTTTTCTTTCATCCTCTGTCTTCGTCTTCTTCTTCTTCATCTTCTTCTTCTTCTTCTTCTTCTTCATCTTCTTCTTTTTCTTCTTCTTCTTTGTCCTCCTCTTTTTTTCTCCTCTTTTTCCTTTTCCCTTCTCATCTTCTTCCTCCTTTTCTTCTACTTATTTTTCTTTTTCTTTCATCCTCTTTGTCCTCTTCTTCTTCTTCTTCATCATCTTCTTCTTCTTCTTTTTCTTCTTCTTCTTTGTCCTCCTCTTCTTTTTTCTCCTCTTTTTCATTTTTCTTCTCATCTTCTTCCTCCTTTTCTTCTACTTATTTTTATTTTTCTTTCATCCTCTCTGTCTTCTTCTTCTTCTTCTTCTTCATCTTCTTCTTCTTCTTCTTCTTCTTCATCATCTTCTTCTTTTTCTTCTTCTTCTTTGTCCTCCTCTTCTTTTTTCTCCTCTTTTTCATTTTTCTTCTCATCTTCTTCCTCCTTTTATTCTACTTATTTTTATTTTTCTTTCAACCTCTCTGTCTTATTCTTCTTCATCTTCTTCTTCTTCTTCATCATCTTATTTTCTTCTTCTTCTCGATGTCTGCCTATTGCAATGTTCATTGTTGTGATGTGTTAAACATTGTGACTGTTTCACTTTACGACTTGTAACAAATCTTTTGCCAATACATGATTTGGGATGGGGTTGAAAACTCTCAATGCGTCTGTGTCTTCTCATATATATATATATATATATATATATATATATATATATATATATATATATATATATATATACTCTTATATATAGGATAATATAATTCAAAAAGGAAAAAATATACTTGTGTCTACACAGTCAATTCAATCAAAAACGGAAAGAAAAACATTTATGTGCTTAGCTGTAGTGTGTGTGAGACGATGGCCACATACGTGATGAAATTAAGGTAGGAGGGGTTATCTCCCTTGAGGAAGATTGGACAACACCGTGTACTTACCGCATCCTATGGATGACAGAGCAAAAAAAGAAAAGGCAAGACAATGAGCCCTTTACTGATTGTCACGCCACCTAGCGGCGTTAAGTGAATTCTATTGATAAGCAAGGTGGGGGTAATCCAACATCTACTAAGGAGACCTTCAATATTACTAACTCTTGTTACTTAACCTTGACTTGCTTACGGCCATATAACATTGAAGTACCGGTTCTTGTACGAAGTTAAGCAATGTCGAGCCTGGTCAGTACCTAGCTGGGTGACCGCTTGGGAAGACCAGGTGATAGCTTGGATATGCGAGTGGCATAAAGGACTTACTGTCATATAACGTTGAAGCACCGGTTCTTGTACGAAGTTAAGCAACGTCCAGCCTGGTCAGTATCCAGCTGGCTGACCGCTTGGGAAGACCAGGTGATAACTTGGATATGCGAGTGGCATAAGGGACTTACGGTCATATAATGTTGAAAAACCGGTTCTCATTCGATCAGCGAAGTTAAGCGACCTTACGCCTGGCTAGTACCTTAATGGGTGACCTTTTTTTAATAAATTCACACAAAGGAAAGGCGATAATGCCACTAAGATGCAATGAGCTAGCGCGAATTAAAGAGAAGGAAAAGACTTTAGAGGGAACCGGAAACCAAATCCTAATGAGGAAACAAGTGATAAAACTCTACTCATATTCAAAAGACCGGGGAGGAGTGTGAACCGAGCGATAGGCGAACCTATCTACTCTTGTTAGTAAATAAAATGTCGGAGTTCAGACGGAGTCGTTAGAAGTATTGAATTGAAGTAGACTTTAGAAGGAATCTGAAACTCAATCCTAAACAGGGAACCAAGGATAAACCTCTATTCCTGTTCAAAAGTCCGGGGAGGAGGGTGAACTTTGAGAATACCAGGAGTTGTAAGCTTGGATGTGCCGGTGATGTAATGTATAATTGCTCGTAATTGGAAACCGAAGGACCGAATTCTAATACCATCTGGGTTCGTTATCTTTACTTATGTACTAATGCCCTCGGGAAAGATAGGAATCCACCTTTTCTACCCAACATCCTTAATTAGTAGGACTTGTATCACCAAACCATTATTATCTTAAAAATAAACATTCTTAGAATCTAAGTATTTTCTGGCATTAAATAACCTGTAAAAGGTTGATAAGCCATAAAAAATCAGTGAATTCATCTAGACCTTTTATATTGTCTCCTACTTGAAATCAGGTACTATATATTAGATTACATTCATCCGCGAAAAGCAGGGAGAAGACGGTGACGAAACGGTTCATCGTGCAGAAAATGGGCTCTGCATTGCATAGTTCGAATTCAAGCTGAGACTGTTTCTGTTTAATTCGCAGTTCTGCCCTAGAGAAAGTCATGATTCAATCTCTTCTGATTTTGCCTCGCTATGGATTAAATTACATATCAGATTAGGCCTTCGGATTGTTAGCTAATCCAGAAGTATAAGACTAAATTCAAAACGTGGAAAAAGCAACTGGGATCTTCTCACAGAAAAATATACAAAATTTAAGTTTCTTTACCAAATTTTTGATGTGCAACGTTTGTGTTGAAAATATTTATTTTTTGTTTAAAAATGTTTTCCTTCTACCTTTTTGGTAAGTGCCCCATAACAACATTAAAAAAAAACATCGAAGCCTACTTTGGGAAAACCTGGGTAAGACGACTGATGACAGTTCCAATGAAGTTACTGATAGCTGAAAACGAAATACTGATAAAAACAAATTTTTCATTGCCGACTTCCTTAATATTTCTTTTCAGACGCACAGAATTTAAGACCTTTCAACACCAAAAAAAGCCCTTATTTTTTTTCCATGTAGCGAAGTATGGTTCTGTATTGTGGCCGCGGAGAAAAAGGATTCAATTTTTTTCTTTTTTTTGATTTTGTGCTTTTCAGGTTCGAGGGCGCACGAGTGTTGTTTATTGTATGACTAGATATGTGGTGACCACAAGATGATTCATATATAGTGGGCATACATTAGCAGTTGATTCTACTTTTGTGAATAATTTCCAGTTCAGATACGAGGTTAAATTTAGATAGATAGATAGATAGATAGATAGATAGATAGATAGATAGATAATGAATATAAAGAAATAGACAGAAAAAAAGCATAATCGGATAGATAGATAGATAGATAGATAGATAGATAGATAGATAGATAGATAATGAAGGAAATTAGATAGATGGATAGATAATGAACGGAATGAGATAGATAGATAGATAGATAGATAGATAGATAGATAGATAGATAATGAATATAAAGAGACAGATGATAAGCATAATCAGATAGATAGATAGATAGATAGATAGATAGATAGATAGATAGATAGAATGTGCATAATTAGATAGATAGATAGATAGATAGATAGATAATGAACGAAATTAGATAGATGGATAGATAATGAACGGAATGAGATAGATAGATAAATAGATAGATAATGAGCATAATCAGATAGATAGATAGATAGATAGATAGATAGATAGATAGATAGATAGATTAGACTGTAAAAATGATCATTAAAATAAGTTGTTTAATAATTGTCTATCCTTAAAATACAGCCACTTCTGTGGTCGATCGGTGATATTTCATATCCGTTAATACTCACCCGGATTATTGTCACACAATTTGAATACAGGTTTAAGGTTTTAGATTATTCGGGAATTTCAGATTAATGGCCGCTATGCATGGGAAATACAATAAAAAGCTTCTACTCACTTTTATTGAATTATTCAAAATTTCGAAATGGCTCCCGAGTACGACAAGAGACACCTGATGAGAGTCGGAGAGTATAACCCCCGAAACGTTGTGCGTATAACAATCATATGAGCTTAGTGCATGTATAGCAAAGCATATAATAAGAAACTTTAAGAGGGCCGGAGAGCACAACAGCCGAAAAGTTGCAAGTATAACAAACATATGAGCATGGCAGATAGAATCGCAAAGTTTATAATAAAGCACTTGAAAGGGCCGGAGAGCACAATGTTTACGATAACAACAACAAAGATGGGGGCAATAGTCCGAATAAGTAGTGGTGTAGAAATGGTGTTTCTGGCAGACCCCAACTATCTCCGGTTTTGAATTCGGAGTTTTTCCTTCTCCTGGAAGGTAAAACTAAACCGGTTGCCACCCAGTCTGTCCTGCTATTTACCCATAGCTGGGAGGCTAAGAAAAGGATTCATACTTTTTCCCAAAGGTATTAGCACGTAAATGAATGTAATGAACTCGACTAGAATTCGAACTCCGATTCATCAATCCAAGCCGTTTTGCATTACTCCACCGTACCTCCCTTAAGTAAATAGCGGAAATAATGATAACATCCCAGAAATTGAAACATGAGTTATATATTTGTAGGAAGAAGATGAGGGACATATAAAAACGCACGCTTTGCATACCAAGAGGAAACGCTGGAATTTTAGATTAAATCATTATTGTTTTAGAGATTTCTGGCTTGTTTCAAGTTACTTAAAAGTGGTGCCTTTTACAAGAGTTAAACTGAATTTTTACATGATTTTCTTTTCAGTGCAAAGTAATTGTTAATATTCTGGAAGGCGTTGTAATACAAGAGACGCAAACAACATTAAATAAGGCATCTTTATCCCTATGAAGTCGTATATTGTATTGTATGACGCGTTTCGTCCTTTAAGACCTAATCAGATTAAATTTGCTATGTGGGTGCGTCTACACACGGACGAGAAATACTTGGATTTTAAAGTTTTTAATGTTTAATTTTCTTTTTTTAATTAAAAATTTTAAAATTCCCAGCATCCCTCGTTCGTGTACATGTGTAGTCGCACTACCATAACAAATTTAGTTCGATGAAGTTCTATTGACCACCTGATAATTGAGAAATTTAACAAATTTTTTCTACGTATTGGCGGCATACCTGTAAAAAGTACGTATGGAATATACCGTGAGAGCTTTTTTAATTTAATTTTTTAACTATAAAGTAATTTTAAAAATTTAGGAAATATATTAAGTCATCTAATTTTAGGTACTTTGGCCGTAAATTTACTGTAGTTAGCACTCTTATTTTCTGATAATGTCGTGTATGAACGCCGTATTTACAAAAAATGGCACGTTTATATACACAAAAAAAAATCAAAATCATTTTTAATATACTGGTGTTCGCTGAATTGTAGTAAGCTTTTCCATTTCTAATTTGTAAATATAGTTTTAATTAATAAAATATCACCTAACCAGTAAAAATAACACACACACACACACACACACACACACACATATATATATATATATATATATATATATATATATATATATATATATATATATATATATATATATATTGGTTTATACCAACGGCTTCCCATACTTAATGCTTCTTGAATTCACTCTCGCATGGTCATGTGTGACGTCATGAGATGCGGTGCGATTTTCGCTTCTAGCGTCTTATATGCACGTGTTTATCGTTGCTTGGAAACCATCCATGCAAACACTAACAGACTATCATCACTGTTTTGTCCGTATATTGCTTAATATATTGTACAGTAATTGACATCTAAAAATGTCTTATGTACAAATTTCCTATGTACAAATGTTCATAATATATATATATATATATATATATATATATATATATATAAATCTGAAGATGAATCCCAATAACCCAAAAATATAAATGTAAAACAGAAAATAACAGATGTTAGTAGGACCCGTCCAACCTAAAAAAAAGAGTTGCCGCTGTATTCTGTCATCAGAGGGAATCAAGAGGCTAACTCTCTAATGGAATGGGTAGGGTAAAATCAAAGTCGAGATTAAAAGAAGACAAAAAAAACAGAGGGGGTTGGGAATCTCAATTTCGTTCATAACAGAGGTAAAGAGCCGGGAACTGGCCGGGAACGACCCTCACTCACAATAACTAGGTGCACAAAAGAGTCTTACTAAGGGAGGGTTCACAGATTACCGCCCCGTTGTGACGAAGAGGACAAAAAGGAACTCAAAGATAAACCCTTTCACACGAACCAAGCTCGCTACTTTCACCCACATTTCGTTGAAATCTGTCGACACCAAACGCTTTCTGTCAGTTCTGATTTTACATTCAGCTGATGCTGAAAGATTCCGATCAGAGCAACGTTAGAAACACCATTCGTTTCACCCCAGAATACGGTGGCGAAACATTATCAGACGCGTATGCGAGATCGATGAGCACAAGTTGATCAGGAGCAATACGAGCCGTCAACTCGCCGACATAGCCCCAGAAAGGGCGTACCTGAGGACAATGGTAGAAGGCGTGCAAATTTGTTTCTTCTAAACCAAGGTCACACCGATAACAATTGGGAAAATCCACCCAGCCCCATCGAGAGGCCATGTCATTGAGGAATAGCACGTTTCGAATCAATCGCGATGTAAGCAAAAACTCAGGGTTACTGAGGTAATTCGCCGCTGGCGCCCAAGGTCAGAAAAAGCGCAACTCGGCCAGCGATAAGCCGAGCCGCTCACAGAGATGGTCCTTTGCGACCCTCTCCGCTAATTCACGATACAAGACCTTTCAAGCCTGTGAAAGATCA